TCAGCGAATTTTCTGCATTGTTCTTCCAAGTAGTCTTGTTCAAGTCCATATTTCCATACTGCTTCTAGTTTTCTTTTATCTTGTACCGTTAAGGTCCAGGTTTCACAAGCATACACTTTGTTATCTAATTGTATGTTGACGAGGGTAACCATGTTTTTCTTGATCACTGCCATGACTTTTGTCTTCTTTATATTTATCTTCAGCGTTTTAATATTTCATTAAATGCTGACTGTTGCATTTCATTCTCTGTCTCTGTTACCATTACAACGTCATCAGCAAATACTTACACAATGGATTACTCTCTCGTTTGTTTTTTAGCTTTTATCTCGAGTTCTTCAATAACTTTCTCTATGAATAAATTAAATAAGTATGGTGACTAAGAACAGCCTCGTCTCACTCCTCTGCGGATTTTGGCTGTGGTTATTGTGCGGTGTTGAAAGTTTTTTCTAGGTCGATAAACCTTATGTATGTATTCCTGTTTATGTTGAGCTTTCTTTCTGTAAGCGCCCTTCCGAAGCTAAAATAACTTGCCTGGTCCTTATTCCTAATTCGTTTTTAAATTATCCTCGCTTCTTTCCCGGTGGAGTTGAACTTCCGTACACCGCAGCCGTACAAGTATTAGCCGTGCTTTCCTGGTATGTTTGTAAAGTCACTTTTAAGTTATTAAGTAGTTTACAACGGCTAGTGTGCGCTCTGGCCTTTGACGCGCAAAACTCTTGGACGAGGAAAATCGTATATTCCAACATTATCCCTAACTACCCCATCCGAACTTTCTAAGGTATCTTAATAAGCGTATTCATTACCAGTCTTCCACGAAACCATCGACTGTCTTATTTAAAATCAAATTTCACATCTGGCTTTTATGCATGTTGACCTAATCTTACTTAACCACTATCTACTACAAACTATTCAGTCGATTTGACCCATTCATTATGTTTTTATGTTCATGAACGAAACGCAAACTTTTGATTCGTCGTGTTTTCCTATTAAGCTTAAACCTAATAATGTGTTTTTGAGTCCACTGGCATGATGATGTCATAAACTGAAAAATCATATTTTTATTATGCTTAGGCAGGAGGTAAGGTCAGCATAATTTAGACAATACTAGAATAATTACAGGCTAAACTATACACATAAGCCTAACTCGTCTAGATACGGTACAGACTACACATGTAATTTGGAAGACAAGACAAATGTCGACTCTATTGTACATATTATATTGTAGTATCTAGCTGCTGACAAAAACTTTAAGTTATTATTGTTTGATTAAAATTAAAAATGTGTCACATAAGTCATTTTTTATTCAACATTTTAGTATATTACCAAAAAATCGGGTGTTACGTGAAATAAGTATAAGTTAATAAGTATAAACCAACGTCTTGGAACACTCCATTAAAATGCCAAAACTAACCTGCACACTAAACTCATAATAACAAAAGCTTTATCAAACCAATGAGGACGTACGGTATTGATCTATGGGGTGCAGCGAAAAAATAAAATATTAACAAAATTCAAGTTCTCCAATCAAAGTGCCTTCGCTGAATTCTTTACCTTACATATCAAACGAAACAATTCATAACGACCTTCACCTTCCTACTGTAGAACAAACTGCTATCTCTCGATATAAACATTTTCACAACCGTCTCCAAAATCATCCAAACCCTCTTGTTAAAAATCCATTGGGCGGTCTCTCCACAAGATATCCGAAGTTATGTATATGCTGTTTTATCGCAAATACTTATTGTATATTTTATACAGATTGTATTTTTATTTTAATAAAAAAAAAAAAAGAAGCCAATTCAGTGGGGACGGAGAGGTCACAGGTCTACAGATTTTATTATAACTGTAAGTGATAAAATCACTTTTAAATAAACGCTTCGATGCGAATCTGTGGATAGTATGTTCAAACCAGTTATAGCGGTTTAGAAGATATCGTGGGACCGCCATTAATGTACTTAAAATTTAATATTTAGTCTAGTGTAGGGTGGATACGATAAAGGTTGATCGTCTGTCTATAAAAATGTACTGTCATAGTTACCCATATATCGTAATTAACAATATAATGGAAATATTTTCATTACCTGTTGACTGTTCATTCACTCGCACAAAGCAACCTAGAAACTGATTATGGTCAAAGTGTAAATTTACCCTATTTTTGGGGTTTTCCTTAATAAAAAAAAAAATTCAATACAGATTTTTGAGAAAATTGTATATGTTATAGTTCCATTTTAGATCTGCCTTCAGTTTAAATCTCTAAAACTTTGCTTGAAAAAGTGAAATAAAAAAAAATTCTATCCCTTCTAGGGGAAAGGGTTTATGGTATTTTTTTGTTTTGTTAATGTATATCGATAGTACTATGTTTGAAAAAAAAATTCATATACATTTGGAACTTTTTCGACTATTTTTAAAAAAGTTATAGAGCATTGTAATTTTAGTTGAAAAATTTGTAATTTTTTTAGGTGTTTTTCTCGATTTTGATGGGGAATGGGGGACTTTTTTTTAATTTTTGGCCTGATAAAGTACCTTTTAGGTATGATTTCTGATCTACAGAGCTGCTACACGAATAAATCGGTTCAGCGGTTTACGAGATATGAAACACATCATTGTAAAACCAACACCTTCTCAGCTCCGCACCGAAGCTAAAACTGTTTGTTTGTGATAATATTATTTTCAAACACACAAAGTTGGATAACATTTTTGTTTACAATATGACTCACACCCGGACGTATGTTAAACGGATGTCTCTCAAAACAGGACCGTACTACACGTTTTATTCTATTTTTGAACAACTCTAAGGAGATAATAATTTAGTTTCGCGCTTTAACCGGAACCGTATATAGGCGAACATAATATTATTATCATCTACGCCGGTGTTCATTATACACAACACACGTTTAATCAAGTAGTCCTTTAAATATTGTATCAACCAAGTCGGAAAAGGGTGCCGGTCGGATTGCCTGTGTATTAGGAGGTGTTAAACATACCTAATGCAAACCGCTTATGTGGAATATATTATAATTTTATCAAATATAATATTCGGAAGCACGACATTGGCGTTGATTAAAGTCATTGTCTTCGTAGTAATTATTATTATTATAGTCCACCTTTGAAATTTGTTTAACACAAAGAGTTCGCCTGACCGAGGTGAAAGTAATTTTCCGGTCGACACAAGAGCACACAATCTTTGTGTGTATTTTTTTTCACTAGACGTGACGCCGACAGGAAACAGGACAATGTGTTGTTTTTATCGTTCGTGCATTACTCGAACGATGTGCAACGTAATTGAATATTCTAAAACGGTTTTCTCCGAACGGTTTTGTTTTACCTACTTTTGTTTCTTTTTTGTCCACCGACGCACACGTTAGATACATGCCGACAAAACCGACAAGATAGGCTCGATAGCTGCTAGTCGGGTCGGGTCGGGTCTGGTGTAAAACAAACTCCCATTGAAACACATTGAAATCGGATTTTTTTTTCCAATTGTCAACAAAAGTACACGTTGGTCGAGAAACTAGAGAAAAATTGAGTTATTCGAAATGCGTTTGAAAAAACCGAAAAGATTTTGTTTATAAAAATAATGCGCTTTTATTTATCTTAAACGCCTTTGAACCGATTTGATTTGTGTAGCAACTCTAAGGATCAGAAAATATCAAACCTCAATTTTAAAAAAACGTTCTCTCTCTCCTCTTCAAAATTGAGAAGAAAAACAAAAAGATATCTTCTTTGAAAATTAGTAAAAATTAGTATGAAGTAATATTCTTCAGACATATTACATTATCAATCCTTTTCCCTGGAAAGGGTGGAACTTTTTTCTTTATTTCCTTGTTTTTGGGGGTAAGTTATAGGTTTAAGGACCAAATAATGATCTCCTTTTTTTACTGGAATTTCATGTTGCAAACAATAATTCAAAATTGTACATGTTGTCAATGATAAAAAATCAAATGGTGTTCGATTTGAAGTAGAATACTTTGTTTGTGAGGTTTCTCAACTCCGGTTCGACGCTGAGAAGGTATTAGGTTTACAGCGGTGTGTCTTTTGTGTTGTTTTTGATCACTTGTTTTTCTTCTAAACCGATTTACCGGACTGGCATCTTTATTATTTAGAAATGGTACGCGGTTAATGCTCTTGCGGCGGGACAACAGTTGAAAAAGTCTAAAGAACTTTCCACAAAAAAAAAAGAAAAAAAAACTTAAAATACAATTTTCCGTGTTATACAAACGGTCGGACCAAGTCAAAGTTGTAGTAAAACAACTTGTCTTGATTTTAGTGCACTTATCCACAATTCCTTTTTTCCAAAACTAGGAAAGGAGAAGTTTTTTATTTCCCAGAAAAAGCACCGTGTTCTGTGTGTGTATAATATACAAATAAACGAAATTGGTATTGGACCGTGGAGTTTATGGATTTTGTTCTTGTGCTATTGCACGTTCGTTAGATTTATGTTATTTCCTCATGTCGACGCGTTAAATACACCTCAAGTCAAAGATAAATAGGTCGCGTTTTCATAGTGTACATATAAATGCAAATTATTTAACTCCACACGTATAATTTGCGTGAAAAGCAAATACAACAGAAGTGGTCATTAAAATTATTCACGCCCAGTGAGAGACCTTGAAAACCTTGAATTTGAAAGTGAAATTTTTTTTTAAAAGGAACTAGTCGCGTTATTTACTTAAAAATATATAGAAAACTATACAAATTAAAAAGAAGCTTCAATCGATACTTTCTCTGATTTTATCATTTTTAATATGCTCCTTAAGGGTCTTTTATTAGCGACATTTCTTGCCTCTCAAGGAGTTAACCATAACTTTTAATCGAATAAAAATGTATAAGATTAAAAATCAATTAAAATAACAACGATTGCCTAAAGAAAAGTTGTTCTAATTATTTTCCCATTTCCAATATTGTCTCCAAATGAGCCGGGTCCATTTAAATACAAAGCGTTAGATAGTTTACTCGTTATAAAAATGTCGAATGTATAATTTATATTATTTTTTTTTCAGATACAGCTTACAGAGAAATCAGACGGTTTTTTCCGGTTGAATGGAAACGTGCAGTGAGTAGAATATTTTTATGGAAAACGTGTACTCTACAGTGTGATTGATATTGAGGATAAAACCGTAATTAATTTTTTAAATAATTGCCCATTTGTGATTTTTACTTTGGGGAACACAAAAATGTTCTCAAAAAGAAACACTACTAAATTGCAATTATTTTAAGAAACAAAATGTTTGTTTTATCATTTTTTTAATCATCTTGTAGGTGTAGGAAAGTCTGAGGTAAGACGAGACAACTTATGTTTAACTCCCTTGTATATTTTAGTGGAATGTTTTAATAAAATTCTCAACTTACATAACATGCCTAATTTTTTTACAAATATTATTTATAAACTACGTTTAAGAATATTTTAAATAAATAAATAAAATTTATCAGGGACAAAATGGAACAGCCCCATATGACAAATCCCATTATGCCTCCCATAGACTAATACATTTCAATTGAACCAATACAATTGTAATACTTTACCGGTTATTAATAATATTGCACAAAACTAAACTACAGAAATATGTATAAATATGTTGGAAAAGCATTCATTGATTATTCTTACCTTAAAATAGTGTACACATTTTGACAAAATAAGTTGTTGAGGAACTAAAAAACAACGATATAAAATATATCATATTAATCAGTTATCACTAATTTCTCATAGAAAATCATGTAACTTACCTTTATAAAAATATATATTCCAAAGATGTTATATTTTTATAATTATCACCGTCTATGGAGAAATCCAGACTACAGTTTTCCCATCATACCTCATGTATTTACCTTGCCCCGTGTAGACTTACCAGAAGCACAAGTATAATTTACTTAAGTTCTTCGGACCATCTGGTGTTGCGGTTTGTGGATTACATTTCCAGCTGTGTGTGTGTTTTAGCTGTAACGGTTAAAAAAAAAAAAGTATTCTTATTAGTTTAAGTAATTACAAACGAATCATTCTCAAAACCTTAATAATTTCTTAAACCTTACGCCTAAACAATTTTTTTTTTTTTGATTATTTTAGCACCGGAATTGTCCGGACGGGATGATAATGAGAAACATTTCCAAACTTGGTATTGTGGCACTGGCAATTGTTTGTTTATTTTTTTTTTAACTGCTCATTTCGCCGGCCGGTAATAATATTCCTCCTTTTGTTCTCCTTTTATTTTTGAAAATTAAAATCATGCGATTCCATGTCGGCCAGTAATAACAATCGAACGGGGAACAAAGTCTAATCTCAAACAATTTATTTCTCCAACACTTTTCTGACAGCAAAACCGGCTGTGCTTTTTATCCTCGTGAGCTATTACCGCGACAATAATAATAATTATAATCACAGCGATTTACCGTGAAATTACTTTCTTACAAATTATGGGAAAAAAAAACCTTGGAATTAATTTCCTCGAGTTTAATTTGACCGCGTCGGATCAGTTCTGGCGTGTTTAGTATCGTTTTGTCTACAAGAGCGTTTGACTTTTAACAATAATTATTGCCCGCATTAAAAATTGTAATGAGTTATCAATTTATCACTTAGGATACTCGTTTCGTCGCAAAAAGGTTGGGATTTTGTAGTTTTTATTTTTTAAAAAGTTAAATAAACTTTAACATTTTTAATAAATTCAATAACAAAATTATGTCACATAATATATAATATTACTGATTGACAAATATATAATATTTTAGCTTCGATGCGAAGCAGAGATGCTTTTGGTTTTTCAATCACGTTGGCTTTTCATACTGGACCAATTCCTTCGTGTAACAACTCTATAAATCACAAATCACAGAGAATACAATAAAGAATAATATAAATAAAAAAATTAAAGTGAGGTGCAGTGTTTACAAATTAGCATCAGAGCGTTTATTTTACCCTAAGGGTAAAATCTCCCATATCTCCTCTGATCTCCCCGGGGGGGGGGGGGGTGCAAGTTTTAGCGTGCTCGGTTTGGACTTGCTGGTTTGAAAATACTAACTACTGATTCGAAAGTGATTTTATCACTTTCAGTTGTAATAATTCCTGTAAACCTGTGACACCTCCCCGTCCCCACTGTACTGGCTTTTTTATTTGTCACTCCAGCAAGACCAAAAGTTATTAGAACCCCAATACGATCCCACTATTTCTTTCTGTTTGTTTGCATTTTTTTATTTCACAAAAAATATTATTATAATTATTTATTTATTTGTAAAAACTTTGCAAGAAAAACAGTGGTTAAAAAAAAAACCCAGACAAAAACCGATATTATTCTTTATGTATAATGTGTTTTTTTTTTTGCTAAATTTTATGATTGTGTATATTTGACTATTTGTGTAATAGTATTATGGTGTTGACTATTATTTAACGTTTCACTATTATGACATTTAATTATTATAGAATTAAAAACGGGTAAACGGTAAAACGGGTTAATTGCATAAATGTCCATGTTTATTGTTTGCTTTGTTTTAACGGGTTTGATTAAAAAAGAGTTATCCGTTATTGTGCTAAGGTTAACTCTATACCGAATGCGAACTAGACAACAGCGTGTGTCCCAGTTTCCATGTAATCCTCAAACCGTGATAGTGTATAGTGCAATCTAATCAAATAGAGAATGTACAATATTATTGTATATTTCTGGTAACAAAATAATATTGTGTACCTTTTGTGTTAACGATTAAACATTTTTTTTTTTATGATATTTTTCAGTCCAACCTCGGGAGCAGAGTAAGTATGTTGTACGGTACTTTACACGTTTGTTTTGCAATTAAAACAAAATGTGTTTAATTTAAAAATAAACTTCAATTCCTTTGATAAAAGTTTCGATTACTGCAGTCGAGTGTATAATAATATTATGAACTAGGCGACCAGAACTCGTGTGCTACTTCTTAATAACTACTATGACGAGACACGACTTGCGTGGCAAGCTAACCCCAAGTTTTGTTTTTGAATATATAACAAATATCAAGTCAAGTGGATCAGAGTGCAGAAGTGTTGGCAGTTAAATTAGAGCAATATTATAATCGTGCGAGGAATTGGAGAGATAGCAAATTAAAAGTTAAAATAGAAGTCAAAATGAAAAACATTTTCCAATTTATCGTTTTTTTTTTTACAATATAATTAGTATTTTTATTTGATCATTTTTAAGCCCCGCGAAGAGTAGTTAATAGTTGGATAGATAAGTAAGAATCACTTTAACTCGTGTTAATAAAATTCAAGGCAAAATATAACAAGTTACCATTATATTTTATTAATTAAAAATTATGTTTGTATTTTGTTCCAACCGTTCGTTTCATTTGGATATTGATTTTACAGTTGGTAAGTATTTTTGATGACATTAATTTTTATTTTACCACTAAAAAAAAAATAGTTTTAATGGTCATGTTAATGAAAAATTTAGGGCTGACTACTGTATTTTGGGAGAACTAATAAATTTATTAGAGATAAGACCCTTTTTTTTTTTTTTTGATAAAATTATGTTTATTTCGTTTGTTATTTGTTTTATGGTTTATGTTTTAAATTAAAAATGTAGATCTCTATAGTAAATTTCAAAGTTACATTTTTCAATGACAGAACTTGAGGTTTTCCTTTAAATATTTTTAACATTTTTGGAAAATAACTGGTTGCCTTGGATAGTTAAGACACTGCAAAATGTATGAACACATGTTAATTATGTCGTTATTGTTTTTTAAATTATTATTTTTAAATATAATTCTAGGTATTAATTGCTGTATTAACTGTATGTTTTTTTTTAAATTTAGATGTGCCAATTGGACAGTAGAGTGAGTATTATAAATAATCTTAGAAAAAAATGTATACTAATACTGATAATAATATAAAGCATATAATTAAATTACAAATATATAGATATTTATTTGTAAAATACAAATGCTGAAATGATTTAAAACAATCGGCTAATTATTCAGCCAAAGACAAAATGTTCATTATAGAATAAGTTTTATTATTATGACTAATACAGTATATTTATTGTACAGACATGACATCAAAATAACTTACCATGTCTTATTGTCTGCATGTACATTTCTCATTAACAAAATATCATTTATATTGTACTTATAATGTGTTTATTTTATTTTCATGCCAATCGTAGAACTGCGGAGGGGTATGTTGAATAGTAAATTATTCATTACCTATACATAGTGTTAATATATTTTTATGCTTTGCTGCCTGGTTGCTACCATTTTGAATTTTTTAAATTTAAAGAAACTTGGCCATTGTTCAAAAAATGTTAAAAAATACAGATATATTTTTAACTCAAATTTAGTATAATATATAAAAAAATATTATTATTTGAACAAACAAAATAAAATTAAAAATAAATTATTGTTCGTACGAATTTAGTACATTGTTCATCTAAAATCAGAATAGTTTTTTTTATTTAAATGCAAATGGAAATAGTAATTATTAAAATACGACAATTATTAAAATTAAATCAAATAGTAATTCATTTTAAAAATAATTTATAATAACAGGTTCTTGGAAACAGTCAAATAAAATAGTACATAAAGTTAAATAAATACCAAATCGTTTCAAATAATTATTTAGTATTTGTCGGAACGCTATGTACAAATTTAATTTTATTAACTCATTATTGTAACTATTATTTAAACAAAAAAAATGACCCGGTTTAATTGCAGTAAGCACTAAATGATTTCGTTTACGTTGAATTGATATTACATTGTAAAACTGGACGGTTTTAAATTTAACACTTTACCTAATAAAAAAAAAAAAAAATCAATGTTGTATAATTAAGTTTTAAATATTTTTTATCAAGTCAAAATGCGATTTTTTATGCATATCAATTAAAATAAAAATTATTCTATTTAAAACAATTGATCAATTTCATTTTGATTCCTTTGAGAAATTGGAAAAGGTGTGGTATCCTTTTAAGTATCTAAATCCGATCTGTACGGTTCGGTTAGGCTGCTTAAGCCGAGTTGGGAATTATTCAATCGAACCACTGATAATATATTATTCGAATAATTTGCATTGTTAGTTTATTCGAATACCGACTTACATTTTTGTTCAACTAATTTTACTTTTTTTATTTGAATGTTTACCCGACTCTGTTGCCAGGCCATGCATTTTTTTTTTATTATCATCCATCTCAATAGTATTTCTAGGGTCCAGGGGTAAACCAATTCATAAACCACAGGTCCAAAAGATTTCCTTAATTATTTTACTATAGTACCAATGTGATCCTGAGTAGGATTGCCCACTGGAAGTCCAATAGAGCTCCGAAATAATTTCCTAGTAAAACTTAAAATCGGTTATAATTGTAAATATAATTCAAGTTTACTCATTTTGTAAAAAAAAAAAAATAATAATAATATAAGATTTCAAAGTAAATAATAAACCAAATTTTCTTTGATCGATTTTTTTATCGGTATTTCTCCACTCCTTTTATTGTGTTGATTTTTAAAATAAAATTCTTAACTTGTATTTATTTAATTATTAAAACAGCAGCAGTTAATTTAATTACTATTCATAAACTACTTTTAAGAGTATTTTAATAAATACAATTTATATAGACAATTTGAACCAATACAATTGAATACTTTATCTGTTATTAATAATATTACACTAAACTTAACTACAGAAATATGTATAAATATGTTGGAAAAGTATTATATGTATAAATATGTTGGAAAAGTATTCATTGATTATTCTTACCTTAAAATAATGTATGAGTTTTGACAAAATAAGTTGTTGAGGAACTAAAAAACACCGATATAAACTATACCATATCAATCAGTTATCACTAATTTCTCATAGAAAATCATGGAACTTACCTTTATAAAAATATATTCCAAAGATGATATATTTTTATAATTATCACTATCTATGGAGAACACCAGACTACAGTTGACCCACCTTAACTCGTGTATTCATCTTGCCTCATGTTCGTCTAATAGATATTTTTAGTTTACTCAAGCAAACCAGTAATTGTTATTTAGTTAGTGTCAACAATAATATATTTATAGGACTCTCCTAGGTGTGAATATTTGAACTGACGAATGCAATGGAGCAAATAGAAAAAAAAAGTAAATATTTCCAAAAATAAAAAAAATGTTTTTGAACAATGTAATTTTTCAACGTTAAATAACATACCAAATACTTAATGATATTCATATAGAAAAAAAAATACAGCCTCTACAACATTCCTGTAAAAGAACAAATATAGAGCAGAGTTGGGAAAACTAATAATAATAAGAATAATAATAAAAAAAATTAATCAATTATCGAATTTCGGTTGTTGTATAATAGTTCTACGTTGGAAAGAAATTCGTCGGTTATTCGGCGTTTGACAATTACAGCAAGATGCAAAGAAAAAGCAGAAAACTTCAAAGGTCGTTCAACAACAATTATCAGGTGGTGAGTGTATGTCATAATATCTATGTATAAACTATAATAATATAATAGCATACTAAACTAAACTGTATAACAGGTATGTGATACAGACGTTTTAATCCAGTAACAAAATACACAGTTTGACAAATAAAAAAATTTAATTTTTAAGACATGAAAAAAAGCATCAAATTAGTGTTTACACTTTAGTGATTATTTATGTTAGAGACAGATATAAATAATACATAGTTTTTTAGTTATTTAGATTTTTTTGTTACAAAAGAGGTATTTAAATCATGAAAAGTATTTACCTTTACTAAAACATTTCTTTATCGGTCATATTGAAACATTACATTTACTAATTTCCTATAGTCAAACTGCACCATAATTGACTTTTATTATAATTTAATTAAATATCAAATTCTTTTCAGAGTTTATGAGCAATTAAAATAAAAAAAAAAAAAAAAAACGATTGTAAGTGTAACTGCTAATTATAGTATTATTCAAAAACTACAAGGTAGAATCATCACTGGTTTTTTCAATTGACAGTAAAACTATTATTAAAAAAAAATTGCCATAACAAAATGATACAATTCATTATTTTGACAAACAGTGAAATTAATTACTAATGAAATATGACTAACTAAATAAATAGAATAAAATTGGTGACACTGTTGAGACATGCTATTTTGCACTCAAATGGTGAATCAAAATGTTGTATAAAAATCTCCCATGTGTTACCATGTGGCCCACGAGGATAAGTTAGGTTGTGAGGTTATGAGGTAAGGTTAGGTTAGGTTTTAAGGTCCTTTTATATTTATAGGTTGTTTTTTAGAAAATATTGATACCAAAATGTCGTTTTTGCAAATTTCAGTCCAATTTTATTTATTATATTATTTCAAGTGCATTACTACAGACATAGGGGAAGGTGGGGAAATCCAGAAATTCTGATCTTTCTTGAAATCCAACTATAAACTTGTGGGTGCTGTGTATATATGTTTCAGATTTTTAAAATGAAGTTAAATTTTTTTTTAAAATGTGCAAATGGTGGAAAATGATAAAGAAAAATTTTAATTCCTAAAAAACATACAAATTATGATGAAAATATCATGTTATCATTGCAGACCTATCGTTCAAAGACGTTGTATGTTTAATGGAATTATTAGTTAGGTAAGGTTATCACATGAGTTATGTTAGACCGTTATTCACTTAAAATCTGTAATATTTAGGTAAATTATGAGCAAATGAATGCAATCCTTGCCAGTTTGTGATGTATAAGAAATAGTCGATATAGTAAAAAATTAGAAATTCATAATTTAAGACGAGTTTTATTTTGGAAATATTCTACAACAAAGGTAATAAAAAAAATTGATAATTCTTTTTTGGTGGCAAAAAAGTTGCTTATCATTTTGAAACATCTGGTATTAAGTTATCAAATTATGTGCTCATCTAAATGTTAGCTGTCATATTTCAAGAGGTATTCCATTGACCGGTATTACCCACTGGCCAGCATTTCCCCATTCTCCCCTACATACTATTTAAATTGTAATACTGAATGAAGTAGTTTTACTAACTTACTTACTTACCCTTGTTTTATTTTAATCACATTGTTTTCCTATATTGAGGCTTATTGTCTATATTTAAAAAAAAAAGGTCTACACTCAAACCTACTATATGACTTAAGTTTAGTTAACTTTGTTTAAAAAAAAATTATATTGCATTATATTTTAATATTACACAATTTACTATTGGAGAATATAATATAATTCAAGTTCAACCATGTTGACAAAACAGCATTTGACCTTTTCTTGATACAAATAAAAAAATTTTTTTATGAGAATATCAAAAATCATAATTTTCTCTTGGGTGTAAAGAACCCTGAAAATTCGACATCTATTCCATTTCCGAGTCTAGCAAAGGAAACGCAACAAAAAATATTATATCTAAAATACATTTTAGACAGGCATTCAAACGTTGATATTATGCTAAAAGTACCGCAGAACAGATGTGTTATTTTTTACAATTTTGTAGGCGAATAAAATCTAGAAAATATGCTATTAACACATTTTTTAATCTTGTACAATATGGTTTTAATATGAAAGCTTTGACATTTAGGTACATATTATGAGCAAATAAATGCAATCCTTGCCAGTTTGTAATATTAGAAAGTAGAAATAGTCAATATAGGTAGTAAAAAAAATTAGAAATTCTTAATTTCTGAGAAGAGTTTTATTTTGGAAAAATATTACAACAAAAGTTTATACTTGAAAACATGTAAGTACAATTATATGTGTTTGTCAGAAGCGCTATTGTTTTTTTTATTTTGAATGATTTAACGCTGTTGAAAATTCAAAACTATATTCATGTCGCGTTATGAATAATAAAATAACCAAACAAAGTACCAACACTATTGTGTCAAATAATCGTGGCAGCGCTTAATTAATATTAAAATATCCATACTTACATTTAAAATTTTTTTTTTTGAAAGTATAAGCTTAAAGCTAGTTAAAAATATTAATACATTGCACGCTGTCTGTTTTTAAGGAGTTTTGTATAGGCAATATTTACACTATTTTACTAATGGAAAGTATTTTTAATTTATACAATTTTTTTTAATTTTAATATTCTGTTAATTACCAATTTTTGGTTTTTAATTGTACTTATAAACAAATTAAATCAAATGTTGTCAAATGCAAAAAAGTAGTGATTTAAAAAAAAAAATCATATATAATTTATTTTTGCGTCTCGATTAGATTTTGACCGACAGACAAATTCTATTTCAATAAATAAAAAATGTTGGGTATTTTTTTTAGGGAAAACATAAAAACTAGTACAAAGTAAAGACTTTGAAAAAGAACCAATAGGAGATTTTAATTTTATCTTTGAATACATTTTTTGGAATTAAAGAAATAAAATCATTAATAACAATATGTTAAACAATCTGCGAAAAAAAAACAACGTTAAGTACAAATTCCATAAAAAAAGATGATTTTCAAATAGAAATCTTCAAGTTTGGTACTTATCAAAATTAAAAAAATTAAAATAAAATGAATGTACACTTTATCATAAAATTGCACATTGCATTACACATTAAGACTTAACTCTTTTGCTATTTGTCGTTGTCGCAACAAACATTCTTTCATACGTTCAAACGGTTATCGTTAAAATAACAATACAAAATCCTTTAAATATCTTCAAACTTATCCTTTTCAAAAAATGCATTACATTAATATATTTTTCTAATCAAAGTTAACAATTTTCAATTGTTCTGAAATAATATCCAAAACAAGCTGTCGTCAAAAGTCAGAAACATAGTACAAAACCGTATAGAAACACATTGAACATTTTTTGTTTTTTTATTAACCCTAAGATGCACATTTTGACTGGAACTTGTTGTCCGATTGGTCACAATATATTTCAATAGGTATAAGATTAAACAGTGTACGAGTAGTACACTAGTACTTATCTAGTAGTTGAACTCTATTGACAAACACAATGAAAAATAACAATAATAAAAGCTCCGTAAATATAACAGATTTACAAAGTAATCGTTGCGCCGTTTACTTCCGACAAGTCAACACAAGTAAAAAATGTACATTTTTGTTTCAGGACCCGTACGAGTCAAACGAATACTTGTTGAAGTGGAACCATTAAAGAAAACGTCACCGTACTATGCAACGACCTGATTTTAATATAAAAAAAAAAAATTAATTAATTAATACACTATTTAAAAATAAAAGTTCGATTAGTTATTTATTTTAGATGTTATATAAACATATATTGAATATAGTACTCGACAAAACTCTTTTAGCCTTATTGTTTAAAAATTATTTACAATACGATTAGACACAAAATAATAATGTAAAAAGAAATAAAATATTGTGTGTAAAAATGTACTGGAAAACTTATTATATTTTAGCAGGTGCCAATTCTCAAAATTGTTGTACACATTTGGTTTTATTGTTTATCGGATTTGATCTATTTGATCAGTAATAAAATACATATTATATTAGCTAACTAAATATTTGCGACCGTAGAATTGAACTTTTTTTTCAAACGAACCACATTTGATCGGCATGTTCAACTTGTAGAACGGATTCATCACGTACTAAAACAAAAAAAACGATAACTCGGTTGAGAAATAATGATTATTAATATACAATTTTTACAGAAAACATACCTTAATGAACATTTCGTAGACTTCGGTGAAAAAGTTTTTGATGCCTTCGTCGTTTTTCGCATCGTGCACCATTATGAATCGCATACGACTGGCTGTGACGAAAGCCGACACCGTCCAGTGATTGAAACGATCGACGCTTTTCAGATACATTGAATTCGACTTCCACATTAGTTCATCGACTAAGTCCAGAGCGGCGTGTGCAATAAACTGATTTAGATGACTGTGGTCTTCTTTCTGACAGAAAAAAAAATATTTATATAAAAACGTTAATTTATTAATTAAAGTGCAGTTAATACGAAATGCTAAAGCGGCAAGCTTAAACTATTAAAAAAAAAAATATATATATATATATATATATATTCAACTAAGTAAAAATTTTGGAGACATCTTAAAAATGTTAGTAACTAACTCTTTTTGGCGCTTTTTTCGGCTCGATTGACGTTATTAACTAATATGCCGATAAATGTACACAAATCAGTACAAGCTAGAGTTTGATTTTCCGCCATAAAAAGTGATATATTTTATAATTAAAAAAAAAAATAAAAATCTTTGCGTTGCCAAAAAACGTTATCAAAAGTCCAAATCAATTATTTACCTTTTTATTCCATTCAATGTGACTCTAGAACAAAAGTGAAATATTTCAAACCCAAGGTAAAGTGTGTAAATTAAAAAAATAGTATTTTTATTTTGTATAGGTATCAGATTTTCTTTAGACAATTATATTGTCATTTAGTACGTTTGAAGAGGTAGCTCTATAAATGAGTGAACGTCCAGTCTTTTTAAACCGCAAGCCAAGCGTAGCGCCGACGCGCTTCGGGAGGGTTACTTTGGTGAATTAGTTTAACAATGTTTTTCAGCTTCGACCAGGAAGACAACAAAAACACTGTGTTTTGTCTATCACGCTTATAATCGACAATGTGTAATAGAACTAAGATAGAAGTATTAATTTTAAACTAGACTTACCTTTATATCTTTACTAGACATGAACTCCATTTCGAATATCGGATTGTCACCGTGTCCGACAATCACAAAATAATAAAATCCGGTCATGATCGGTTGGATGAATATGTTTAAAAGATGGCACAAGTATTTCTTACATAGTGACTTATATATTAATGTATTACTCGATTTAGGTTCTAAAGAAAATAGTTAATTTTAAGACAACTCAATTTAACAAGTGGCTCGTATTTTATATTTTAGTTTTTGTTAAACTGATAAGAGTCCGTTTTGTTATCAGTAAACAAGTGATAACATGGCGCAAAGTGATAACAGTATCGACAAACTCTGGATAAAGCGTTTGGCGGGTTTTTTTAAAACTAACATGGTTTTTTAATGGTATAAAATAATTAGATAGGTATTTTTAAAATTAAATTCATTTTATTTGACTTGATTAAAAGTAGGTACTTACATAAGAATTGACAATATACTGCACCCCTTCCTTCCATTATTCTAAATACTGTTTAAGGGCCTTAATATTAGGACACACAGATTTAACACAACAAAATAAACCATTTGACAAAAAAAAATTAAAATTTTACTTAGACCTACTCTTAATTAAGTCCAATAAAATGGCTAATAACTATATCAAGTAATAATATTCCAACAGGTAATTGATTTTTTAAGATTTTTACATTAATTGTTTTATACTTATTATGTTGTTTGCTTATGTAAAAAATTACAAAACTTTTTTATAAGCTTATTGAAAAGCTAAGAATCTACAAAGTTTTAAAATATACCTATTAAGTCTAATTTTCAGACTTTAGGTCAACGTTTTTTCCCCTTAAAATAATTAGGGAAGAAAAGCATATTGAAGTTTTATAGTTTTATCTGAGCTCATTTAAAACTCAATAATAATTTTTTAAAAGCAATTGTCCAAAACCGGTTATCGACCGGAGGAAGATCATACTCTATTCCTATTTCTTATGCCTATTCTTAAAATGGGATATCCTTAAAAATGTATGATTTTTATGATTTTAAAACAACTCAGAGGTATCGTGTAAAGGAAATTTTTATATTTTTTTTTATATGTTTACCTTTTTAAATAAAACAATTGGATATTTATATGATATATCGCCACAATTATTGATCTTCCTTTAGTTTAATTTCGATGCAAACATTTTCAAATATATTAGTTGCTCTTAAATGATGTTGTTGAGCTACAGTTAGATTTAAAAAAAAAATGTTCCTATATTAGTTTTTCCTTAATAAAATTGCCTATACAATTTAATTATTATACTTTGGGCAATTTAATTTGTTTTACACGACATTTTTAACTACAAATTGTATGCAAAATTCTCCAACCAATATTTTAATGTCTGCAGGTAACTCTGTAAAAAAAATAATATTATGATTTTTTCATAGTAAATCTTTAAATGTTTTTATGGCAAATGTCCTAATGAACATCTCTAATTTTTGTTTTGTGTACATTGTTTTTTCTTTTATAATATTAGATATATTACATTTTATGATATCGACACCTATTTGTTCTATTATTTTTTAAATCGTTATTATTATTATTAATATTATTGCTATATTTAAAATACTGATAATGTATATATGTATGAAAAAAAAAAAATTACTCTTAAGCAAATATTATATTAACACAACGACCATGCTAAAGTATGTCCCTCATTAATACACCGATATGAACATAGCATACAGCAACCACTACAGGGTCACCAAATAAGAAGAGAAGTCATCTTAGCACTACGTTAAGGTGGAACAAAATGACCGCTTTTCAAAAAATGTGCATGTGTGTGGGGTATACGGATTGCCCCTTAGAATAATAGAGTATCGACAGCACAACATACACTTGTTCGAATTACAAATTTTTTTATCTTTTATACTTAAAAAATATTTCGTTTGACGAATTTTATATTGAATAAAATAGGTAAGAAATAATTAGTAGAACACTAACTAATCTAAATGGACATTTCTCCAAGTCTATTTTTAATATATTTGAATGGGTGTTATCAAATTTTCATCATCATCAATCATGTTAATTTTCCTCTCTACTTATTGTTATGGCGAGTAATGATATGTCTAACATAAGCTTCATGTAGAGCTGATAGACAAAACAAATCTACCACTTTTTAGCATCATAAGCACCACTAGTCACTTTAAGTATAATATTAATATTGGTCTCAATTCTTTAATTTGTCGCAGTTAAGAAAATATTATTATTATTACATTTTATCCATACAATCAAATTAAATGTCGCATTAAGTAATAACTGTAAATGATTACACGAGGACAATTTATAAGACAATTCATATTTTATCTTAATGTAGTTATTCGCCATAATTATTGGAACAATTGGAATTATTATAAACCCTTCTTTGCATATATATAACTGACAATTTTGGGGTTTTCAACCTGAAATTAATAAAAACCGAAAACATTTTTTTGGTCTTTTCGTTAAAAAATAAACGGTTAACTAGTTTTTTTTTGTTTTTCACCCATGTTGTGTACAACATAACATGTGCTTTACTCTCTGCTTTGCATCGAAGCTAAAAATGATTACCGGATGTATTCTAATTGTCTAGTAAATTGTATCATAATAGTAATTGTGAATTGTTAATATCCATAATCTTTATTGCTTTGGTATCGAATAGACCAATTAATCCATTATTGCAAAAAAAATCTTTTAAATAACCTAATGGTATTTAGCTAAAACTACTACCTACAACTTGTCCGATTTAAATTTACAAAATTATTTAAATGTTTATGTTTGGACGAGAACAACCCGTTAAAATATCAAGGCTTAATAAGAATAGACAGAATGAACAAAACGATAATTGTCTTTTAATTGTTTGACTTATCGAATAAAATTTAATTAGATTACCTACGGACGCTAAAGAAAAGAAAACCGATAATGGTGCAAAAGCATACATCTCAAATCCAAGCACTATTATTATTTAAGAATAATAAATAACATTAGAATAGTATAATTTATTTAATAAACACCTAAATTCATAAAGAACAGTTAAATATATATAAAACAAATATTATAATTAATCATATTTAAAAATAAAAATAACAGATTTAATGCAAATCATATCAAGACAGAAAATAAATAAATAAAATATTAACAGTTTAGACAATTTAAAAGTGAAGACAATTCTATTATTTATTTTTACTAATTATACATTCAAAGAAAATAATTAATAGTACTCGTATTACATGAATATTAGTAAATCTTTTTATCCTTCAATAATACATATTTTTTTTATTGATAATGTTTAATACAACATTTAAATCGTGTTTGACTTCTTTCACATCGTGTAGATAGCCAACAAAACGTTGAATAGATTTCTCGACTGCTTCGTCAACATATACGTCCCCTGTTTTTACTGAACTAACCGGATCGATTGTCGACCAGCTTTCATTGAGATTATACAGGTGTTCAACGGCATGGATTTCCAAAGAATTCTTCAAATCTGAGCTTTGGGAAGCAGTTTTTAAATCTTTACTATCTATATTTGGCATTAAACAACCGGCGTGCTCAGGATGTCCCTCTGAATCGCTATAGGATAGCGGTAAAGCTATTTCACCAGGTGACTTGAAATATAATTCTAATTTGGATTGTTCAAAGTTAATCACTTTGATAATTTTGTCATCGCAGCCTTCATCAGATCGTACGGATGCCCATTTTAAAAAGTCGTTGAATAATTCGTAAACAGTGCCAAGCGAATTCGTTATCTGTTTAGGGTATGGTGACAATACATGGATTAATTCGTCGATTGATTTTATATCGTCTTTCTTAACTAATTTTCCCTTGCTAATTTTTATTTGAATGACAACGTCTTTCATATGTTCATAAGCTATGAAAGCCACCATTCTAGTCATTAACAATTGATATCTAAAAAGGTGTTTCGGATGCAGTTCGTGTACAACTAAATCGTGAATTTCTATTAAACTTCTCAATTTTCCTTTCCACGTTGTTTCGATTACGCGTAACATTGCAAATCCGTTATTTGGCGATATTGACTTTTCAATAATAACATCCAACAATAAAAGCTGAAAACTGAATTTATATTTTTTCACTTTGGAAGACTTTGGTATGAAATTCGAGAGAAAAGATTTTTTGAGTTTTGTTAGGGCCGTCGGATTTAGTTTTGTGCTGTTATCTATAGTTATCCCGATGCATTCTATTTTTTTAAAAACATCACTATCCACTTTAGCACAGGCTTTATCTATTTCATCTTTGTATAACTGTTCGCGTAGTTGTTTTGTACTTAAATGTGGACAATAATCAATGGTAAACTGCAGGATCATATTGATAACAAACAATTGTGATCGGCTTAGCTCTTCGATTTTTACAAGTACATCATCAGCTTCGACGTGCGTCGTCGCTTGGCTGTGTAAAAGTAAAACGAATGCGTATATTGACTCAACTAATTTACGATTTATGGGTATGCTTAAATTAGCACTTTTGTCGGAATCAATAATCGCCTCCAAAAAAAGCATTATGTACTCTTCAATTGTGTTTTTTTTTAAGAAGCTTATTACTTTGTTGAAACAAACAGTTTTAATAGTGTTAGTTTCTTTTTCGGTCGTATCCGAATCATAATTATTATTATTTCCCAATATTTTGCATTGATCAAGCAGATAATTACTAAATACCAAATGTTTAACCATTGCCGTGGCACCGGTGCAGCAAAATGATATAAAATCGTCGTTATGTTTTGAAAAACCACTATTGCCTGGTTTATATTGCAAAAACCAACTATACTCATACTCGTTGTCCCGAAGATTTTTATTGATTTCAAGCATTATATCAATATCTGGTTCGATTTGTTTGATTTTTTTTATGAAATTAAATAGTAGGTCGGACAAATGTTTTTTGTAATCGTCTGTGCATTGGTGATCGTTTGCCTTCGGGTTTGATGAATTAATCAAATCGAATATACACTCCGCGGTAACAGTTGAAGTTTCAAAATATCTTATTATTACGAATAAAATAGATTCCACCGAAAATAGATGATCATTAAAGAGATTAATAAGATTAATTGTAATATCTATAAGTCCCGGAAAGTTTAAACTCTCTAAATAATCTAATGCGGTAAGTGAATTTTTTACAATAGAATTGTGCTTTACAAACATACTGAAAAGGGCGCCTGTGTTTTGTTGACGCATTTCATATTCTAAGCACGAGAGTAATTTCAATAAAAGATGAAAAATTACTGACGCTATGGTTT